GGCCCTGACAACCTTCCTGTCACTGTGGCATTATCTCATGTGTCGCTCCTGCGCTGCGTAAACGGCAACCGGCGGCAAGTTCAACCCTAACCCGTGTGTGTGTGTGTGTGTGTGTGTGTGTGTGTGTGAGGACCTTGTAAACCAGAGAAGAGCTAGATTTTTTAAAATAAAAGCATTAGTTAGTCCATTTCAGCAGAAAATGTTTACATGGTTTTGCGCATGCAACCAGGTCATTTTGTCATTTTGAAAAGTCTTTTTGTTAAGATTTGTGTTAAATGTATTTGATGTATATCTGCTTGCTGAAAAGAATATTAGAGAAAATAACAAAAGAAGAAAACGTTTTAGTCAGGAAACATTTCTTATTTATTGTGTATTAGGTGAGTCACCTCTTCTGGATGAGCTGATGTGTAATGTTTTAATGTTGTTGTTTTTTTCATGTTCTCGTGCTGTCTAATAAGTTCATGACGTGTTTCTGATGAGTTATGTGTGTTTTTGATTTGTTCAAAGATGAAGAGTGATGAGTTAGACTCTCTTGGAGGGCTGGGGAGGAAACCGTGAAGCAAAGCTTCTAAAATATGTTCCGGTTGTTTGCTGCTGCTTCCTTCTTTGTGACTTCTATCAGGGTTTCTTCTCRTGACATGAACAGACGGTCGCTGCAAGTCTGAACCTGGTTTTAGTTCTTTGCTGCAACTGGACGAGACAAATCCGAACCATGTGGTCACAGTGAGAAGCTTCCTGAAGGAGCAGCCTTCAGTCTGTTCCTGTGTGTGCTCCTCTCCTCTCCTCTCTCCTTCATGTTGACTCTTACTGCTATTTTGTGCTATAGCACTGCTAAGTCTGGATTTTTATTAAAGATGAGACTTACTGTGCTGGTTTGTGTATTTTTTTACAGTTTTTTTGTTCCTTTGATGGTTTTCCCTGTGAGTTTGTTAGCAAAATATCTCATGAACCACAGAATGGATTTTMACGAAACTCACATTATTGGATGGACATCTGCAACTGATAAACTTTGAAAATCAATACATCATGTAGTAAACAGAGAGCACAAACATAAATATAGTTCATTTATTTTTACAGATATTTGGCTAAAATTTGGTGCGGCAGCATTCACAACACATACACCAAGTGCTACACATTGGGCKATGTTTTAACTTATGTTTGCACTAACGAGTCAACACTGTTTGTGTGCTGGCTAAATGTCTCATGAACGATTGGACAGATTTTAATTAGACCTTCAGCCAGTAATCAATAGCAATAACTTTTACAGTCAGTTCAACACAAGCTGGCTAATCAACATGATAGAAAACACAAACTTGATTATAACTCAGTGGAAATGTGATRTTTTGGAAGCTGTAGATCCTTCACACTGCATTCTCGTCTTTAAACTGGTGGATGTGTTCCTTGGAGGGATGCTAAATGAATTTGAAGACCATACCTCGGGTGTCGTCGTGGGACAGGCTGAGCCTCAGCTCATCAGAGTCAGAGAGGAGGCTTCAGATGAGCCAGCATGTGTTGGAAATGTGTGCTTCTTCAGCTCTGCACTGGGGCGTCTGTCTGGCTGCAACACCAAAGGACTGCCATAAAGTGCCCCCCACCCTCTCCACCCTCCCACACACAGATGATGAGTGCTTTTATTGGTGGCGTTGTCATCTGCCCCACCAGGAGCTTCCAAAGCCATTGTGGTTCTTGTGTTTTTCTCTGCACCATATGACGCTGATAACTGCAATCTGAAGAGATAACAGGGCTGCTGCTTCCTCATCCCCTCCTCCTAATATGTGTAATAATGACTCATGTTCCTTAAAAGATGTGCAAAAGTTATCCGTTTTGATGTTTGGTGTAATAATATGAACCAAACTGTAATAATGCAACAAAGCATCGTTAGTCCTTAAAGTGAATTAAAATGTTTTATTGAAGATAAAAACAGTTGCATCTTCCTTTAATCAAAACTTTTATATCTGCACTGGCTTTGCTGCCAAACCTCTGGCCTACATGAAAAATCAAAGATGCAGAATTGCATCTGGCCCTAAGTTTGACAATTTTACCAAGAGYATGGACTAAAGTGGGACTGACTGTGATTCTCGGAGCCATTGCTCTCCAGCTGCAGGCCTCCTCAGCCTCGTCTCAAAGGGAGAAGAAAGCCCATTCTCAAAACTTTGTGTGTGTGTGTGTGGGGGTGGGGGGGTGTTTATTGGTTTATGACTGTCTTCTGGAGTTGTAGCCCGACAGACGCCCCTTCTCTTTCAGCTGCAGCGTACAACTGAAGAAGCACACATTTRAAACACATGCTGGATCATCCGATGTCTTTCTGCTTCCCTAACTCATCAGTCAAAGACCAATCACATATTTTATAGGCACGGATAAAACAAAAGTATTGTGAACAAGTGATATCGTGTTTAAAATAAAACTAAATGCCAAGTAGTTGCTGTCTATTTTTATTTTATTATTTTATTGTTTTGTTGAATACAATAAAAGACTGAAAGCTGCGACCAATTTCTCTTTAGGTCTGAGAGGAGCCCACTGAGGAGATGGATCTGTTTAGAATCACACTTAGAACCATTTGAAAAACAGAAAAAAGTGCTTCCTAGTTTAAACTAGAGTGTTTTTTGTTTGTTTGTTTTTGCCCTCATTGGTTGTATACTTCAACTAAATCCAGATGGTTGGCTTGTGTTCTGTTTATTTTGTTTATTTCCAGGTTCTGCACTTTATTTTTTACCTTTTGGTGTAAAACATGAAGGAACATTAAACCAAGAAACAAAAAGTAAAAGGTCACTTGTAAATAACAAGTAAAGATTCTTTTTAAACAGCTTTTTTTTTATAAGATTTGGAAAAAAAAGTCAAAGTTTGGATGAAACGTCTCTGAAAGACGCAGAAAGATCAAAAGACTCTCAACAGATACAGAAGAAAAGTCCAAACAGTTTTTGAACCACAAAGGGCTTTATTTTAAGACTGTTATATTTTCTAATTTTCTGTTGTAAAGTGCCAATCAGCTGCTTTCAGACAAAGTTTAGTGGCAGAAAAGTTTTATGTAAAAAAGATTCATAAATATGGTGGGTTTTTTTCTTTAGTTTGTTTTTTAGTTTCTTGTTTCCTTTAATTGTGTGTATATGTGTGTTTGTGTATGTGTGCACTGTAAAAAATGAAATGTTGGATTTACTTAACCATGTTATGTGA